CTGAATAGCACTATTATGATGCAAAAAAAATCAAGCCTTGACATAGTATGTGAATCTATGTAACCAACATTCTTATAATAACTAAATTGTCGGAAGTGGCACTGTAACTCAAGCGGTAAAGTGCTCGCCTTAAGCTGAAGAGCGCAGGGATAGCGCCCAAGCCCAGAGTCCAAGACCCACGACCAACCAAAAATAATAATAATAATAACTAAATTGTCAAGATGAAAAACAGAGAGGAACAAACATGATCAAAAAGCCAAACAAAGCCAGGCACTGGTGGCTCACACCCATAATCCTAGCTAATCAGGAGGCTGAGATCTGAGGACCTTCATTAGAAGCCAGCCCAGGCAGACAAGTCCAAGAGACGCTTATCTCCACCAAAAAGCTGGAAGTAGAGGTGATGCTGAAGTAGCAGAGTGTCACCCTGGGCAGAAAAAGCCAAGCAAAACCATAAGGCAGAGTTCATGCTCCCTCTCTCTCTGTCTCTCTATCTCTCTCCCTGTCTCTCTGTCTCTCTCTGTGTCTCTCTCTCTCTCTCTCTCTCTCTCACACACACACACACACACACACACACACACACACACACACACACACGAGATCTTCGCGGTGACAGAATAATTCTGTATCTTGATTTCAGTAGTGGCTACACTAATTTACTCAGAGAAGACAGAACCATACACACACACATTGTGCCACTGGTTTTCATATTGTGCTATAATATATAATATGAAATTCTAAACCTCTCTGTACTATCTTTACAACTTTCTGTGAATCTGTAATCACTTCAAAGTAAAATGTTATCACCCCCAACAAAAAAGTACACAGTAAGAGCTGAGATTATAGTCCACATTCTCTGCTCCCAAATCCCATCCAACCACCAATGATGACTTTAACATTTCTGTGCCCTTGCACATAGAAACTTCTACCTAAGTGCCCTTCTACCCCTTAGCAAACTCCCAATTTCCTTCAACACCCAGATTTTCTCCTCCAGGAAACTTCAGAGCTTGATATTACTACTTTTCTTCTGCCCTTTCTGTGCATAATATATTGTTTAACTAGATTACAGTCATAACTTTACTTGTTTTTATTTCCTCCTACATGCAAGGCAAAGAATTTGAGAAAATATCACAAAACAGATCCAAAAAGGCTTTCTCCATATAAGGAATATATGGAGAAACATATAAGGAACATATAAGGAATTCTTACAAGCCAGAAAGCCCCAATTTTTTAAAATTGCCCAAAATATTTGAACCACACTGACTAAAGGAGACTCTGGATGGCAAAAACAAAGAAAAAGAGAAAAACAAAGGAGGGGGTAACAATGTTCGACAAGAAATGTACTCATTTCCTTATGCATATAACTGTAACCCCTCAGTACAGCATCTTTACAATAAAATAATTTTTAAAAAAAAACATATGAAAACATGCTGAACATTGTTACTCTTTAGCGAAATGCAAACAACACCGAGATGAGATATCATCACATACCTATTAGAATAGCTAAAATGAAAAAGACTCAGCATAACAAATATTGGCAAGGGAGTGGAGCTGGTAGCAAGGTAAAATGGCATAAACTTTCTAAGTACATATGGATGCTTCTCAGAAAGCTAAAATGCCAGCTAGGCACTGGTAACTCATACCTGTAGTCTTAGCTACTCAGGAGGCTATGATCTGAGAATTCTGGTTCAAAGCCAGCCTGGGCAGGTAAGTCTGTAAAACCCTAATTAAAAACCGAAAAGTCAGAAAGTTATGGCAAGTGGTAGAGAACTAGCCTTGAGCAAAAAGGCTCAAGGACAGAGCCCAGGCCCTGAGTTCAAACCCCAGGACTGGAAAAGGAAGGAGGGAGGTAGGGAGGAAGAGAAAATGAAGGAAGGGGTGACACTGTCCAAAAACAAAATGTATTTACTACCTAATTTACAAAATGGCAACTCCTCTGTACAACACTTTAACAATAACAATAAAATTATATTTTAAAAAAGACAAAAACAAATGCAAATGTCCCCGCAAAACATCAACCAAAAAAATTCACAAATGTTTGTGTCTCTAATAGTCCCAAATTTGCAACAAATAGTAAAAAAAAAAAAAACTTGTGTGCAACTATACAGTAAGATACCACTTAGCAATTAAGGAATGAATAATTTATACACAAAACAACATGGATGAACATCAAAATAATTAAGTAAGTGAAAGAAGGGTACATGCCTTGTAAATCACATAAATCCACTCACATAAAGCTCTGGAAAATGCAAACTAATCTACAGTGAAAGAAAGCAGCTTAGAGTGTTTGGGAGATGGCTAGTAGAGGACGGAAGGGGCAGGGTGGAGAGACAGGCACAGAATAAGGTGGGGGAGGGTAGCAGCATTCAAGTTCATTAGTGTGATGGTGGGAACGGACCCAGGAGTGTAGACAGGTGTCAAAACTCATCAAGTTGTGCTAGTTCAGTATGTGCAGGTTCTTGTCTGTCAATTGTTCCTAAGTAAAATTATACGAAAAAATAGTAATGGATACCACTGAGTAGCCATGTCCTTTATTATTGATCTTCACTCAAGTTAGATTTCATTCAGCCCATTTTATACCAAAGAAAGCCTGGGGAGAAGGAGAAGGGAGGGCTGGTCAAATTAGGGTCAGGCCTGGGTCCAAAGTCTCCAGAGCTGAGACATATGTCTTGATATTGTGATGTTTCCGGCTATGACAAATTCCAAGCCTGAAGCCACAGATGATCGCTCCCAGTCAGTCCTAAGCAAGACCCAAAGTAGGATCTGAAAGGAGGAAAAACGACAGGAACTGCAAGAGATTAGTCACTGAGATGACCTCCTGGATCTCCTGGGTTCTTATCACTACAAATACCTCCAACAGCCCAGCCCACTATAGCAGACAGGCTGGGGCAGGAGGTGGGCTGGGCTCACCCCCATCCCACTGCCCCCCAGCAGCCTTTCCGCTTCACACAGTGGTTGGGTACAACAGACCCTGACCAGCCAGGAGAACAGACTCCAGTTCCACTTGTGCTGTAAACAAGGTCCTTCCCTTTTTCAGGCCTCCACTTCCTCAGAGGAAGGAAGCAAAGGCTGACCAAGGAGCCTTCCAAGGAAGTCTCTACTTCCCATCCTGTGTGTGCTGCTGAACTGCAAACTGCTTTCCCCATCTGCTGATGACCAGGTACTCTGTGCAAAAATGTGCCCTGATTAGTCTATGAGACTGCATCCAGCCACCCTATTAGCTTAGGAGCACAGGCCTCCACCTAGCAGGGCCTTCCCAAATGACTCCCTGGCCACTCCACCTCCTTCCCTCCTTGTTCCCCTCCTCCAGGATCTTCCAGAGCCCTGACCATGTGCTGCTCTGGATTCCGGAGCACGGGGACTTAGAAAGCCTGGGGTGCACAGCAACTTGAGACATAATTCCTCCCTACAGATTTCTTGAAGGACAAGCTGAGGGTGCATGGTTAAAGAAGGCATAGGAAGAACTTGAGTCCTATAGGCTTAATGCAGGAAAGCCCCATCTCCTGTCCCTTGTCACCTCTAAGTATCCAAGGCCAGGCCAGAATTTCCGGCCCCAACAGCTGAAGATAATTGGCTGAGCACATAGTCAGCCCTCAGTATATATCTGTGGATTAAACCCCTCTTGCCAGAAGAATAAGCTTTTTCCCAGCCATGAGGAAAACCAAACATCCCTATCAGTGTGCCCTCCTAGAGAGAGCCCCAAGAGTCATGGGCTGAAGAGGCTCTGCTTCTAACTAGCTGGGAGAGCTGTGGTCATTGGCCACTGTCCACCTTGCCTCTTGGGTCATCCAATTTAAAAAGAAGACTATGCTACAGAAAAGCTCTCTGCTCCCATACTATTTTACACAAGGATTTACCCACGGGATTTTTGCAAAGCTCCAAGCACTTTGAGCTGTTCACAAAGCTTCAGAGATGGAATCATGTCCCCCTATAAAGGGCACTCACCAGCTTGGAGAAACTGAAGCAGGAACAGACAGACTCACTGACATCAGTTGCTCCTAAGCTGTGAAATGTTGGGCAGGTCTCTTACCTCTCTGAGACTCACTTTCTACACTGGAGAATTGAGGATACTTCATTAGATATGGTTACAGAATTAAAAGGGATTGTGTAGACAAAGCACAAAACACAAGCCAGGAACCATCCCAAACCCAACCAAAGCCCTTCTCTCCTCTTCCTCAAAAACATACCCTAAGACCCTTAGATAAGATTTTTTTTTTGCTGAATTCACTAAGTTGGAAAACTAAGCCTTTAATGAAGGAATAGGCTTAACTCTAAGAAGTATTCTGGGGCTGTGGTAGCAGAGATAAGGGAAGGTCTGCAAAAGTTAGAAGTGGGGCTGGCATCTCAAGACTATCTACCACGACCCCTCACTGGCTGTGTACAAAGTCTCTGACTAGGTAGCCTCAGGGCCAAGGTCTGCCCCACACCTGTTCCTTCCCTCAGGAGCCCATACTATGCTACAAGATCCATCTTCTTAAAATGAGAATGTGGGCTAGACACTAGTGGTTCATGCCTGTAATCCTAGCTACTTAGGAGACTGACATCTGAGGATTGCAGTTCAAGGACAGCCAGGGCAGGAAAGTCTATGAGACTTTTATCTAATTAACCACCAAAAAAGCCAGAAGTGGAACTTTGACTCAAGTGGTAGAGTGCTAGTCTTGAAGAATAAAACAGCTCAGGGACAGCACCCAAGCCCTGAGTTCAAGTCCCAGGACTGGCACACACACACACATACATACAAAGGGGATGTGGAGCCAGAACACCTCTTTTTACCAACCTTCCTAAGTATCTGAATTTACAATCCCACAAGGATAAATAGATGTTCCACACTCTCCCTATACCTCCTTCAGGACACAAGCAGAAGAATCAGAAAGTAGACAGAGGAGGGAAGAGGCTGAAACTCCATTATGTGAATTTAATTAGCTCTAATCTGCTGCCACCGCGGGGCCTTGAAGAAAGAGGCTTTTGTTGAAATTTGACATTTGGCAGGAAGTCCCCCTCACCAGCACCCCCCCTCCCCAGTAGAGATTATGAGTCAAAAGCTCTGATTGCAGTCTGGACTCTCACATCCAGTAGTGCTGAAGCTTCTTTTTCACACTTCTCTGACCAACTTCTTAACTTTTCCAGGAAGGAGCTGTGCCCCAGATGTTGGTCCATAATGGAGGGTTTTCTTCTGCCTTTCTAAATGGATGTCAATAATTCACAGACCACTCCCTCCTCAAAGGAGTAAGAACCGAAAGGGAAAATGCAGCCAACTTCTTCCTATCAGGAAAACAAAGGTTTCCTGGTCAATGAAGCCCTACTCTCTATGGGTAGGGAGCCTCACAGCCTACAGGGCAATTTCATTTTCATTAGGGAGCTTTGAAACTCCCTAAGTGTCAGGAGATAATAAGGACACAAATCTCCACTCCCATTCATGTGATAATGTTTACTGAGTATCTACTATATACAGAAGAGTTGATGTGCCCAGTGCTGCACAGTATAGGCGCATGGTCAGTATGCAGACAGTAACCCATGGGAGTGTGAGAATGAGTCTCCATTTGCCCATGTCTGTGATGTAGCTAGTCCCACCATGGTCAATTGGAAGCTGCCAACAGTTTTCTTCCACAATTTTTTAACAACCAGTTTGCAAACTTCCTGGATATTTAAAAATCAGCACTGGAATTGTTTTTTAAGACAAGAGGCAAGTTCTCCAGGCTCCTCTCTGAGTGTTCTTTCTGCAGAACCTCCCTGCCCCCTGCAGTAGGAATCAGCTTAACAAGATAACCTCAAGGAGGGAAATCTTGGGCAGGTAGCTCAGTGCTATATTGCTTACCTATGAACAATGAGGTCCTGGGTTCTAGGCCCAGCAGTGACAAAATGACAGAGAGAGAGAGAGAGAGAGAGAGAGAGAGAGAGAGAGAGAGAGAGAGAGAGAGATGGGGGGAGAACTTAATGAAAAACTCTATCTGAATGATTGGAAACAGGAGGACAATGGATTTGTGACATGTACTATTTTCTTACATGTCAGTATTTTTCCACATGCCCTATGAGTACACATTGCCTTCATAATCAGAACTTATCTAGAAAATCAAAATCATTTTTAACAAGCCAGGTGCCAGTTTCCCATGCCTATAATCCTAGCTACTCAGGAGATAGAGGAGACCTGAGGATCATGGTTCCAAGAAGGACTGGACCATGAGACTCTTATCTCCAATTAACCAGCAAAAGGATGGAAATGGAGTTGTGGCTTAAGCATCAGCCTTGAGTGAAAAAAAGCTAAGGGACAGCACCCAGGCACTGAGTTCAAGGCCATTTACTGGCTTTTTTTCTTTAATCTCATTAAGTCATTTTTAGCAAGTTTACCAGAATGATCTGTGATTATTTCCTTGCATAAATTTGGCCACTCTTTCCATTTGGAGTAAGGAGTGTGTGTGTGTGTGTGTGTGTGTGTGTGTGTGTGTGTGTGTGTGTGTGTGTGTGTGTGTGTGTCGTACTGCAGAACAGTGCATGTGCATTTAAACATTCACCTGAATTAATGCCATCCTACCTGGAGGACTAATTCATCCTCTTTGGAGTTCAAGTTTCATCAGCAATGGAGAAAATACAACTCCTTGTCAAGATTCCAAAAGACCTGCGCTGGCAAATCAACAGTTCCTTTGGTCATCAAACGACCTTGCTTCCAGGTGTGCTGGGGTGGAAACAGATGGCTTGATTGAAACAGAAATGATTGTTCCTTCTTTCCAGAACCTAAGAGTAGGATGTTTCCATGTCCTTCCCCCAAAGAGGCATTCTGTCCTGTCTTACTTCCCAAGATGGAGTCAAGGGTTCTTACCTCAGCTCTGGGAGAGGGCTTAGGGCAGTTTCATCTCAGCTGGGCTTCTCTCTGGGCGGCAGGCTGTGCTGCAGAGCCGTGCACAACTGGCTCTATCCCTGTCTGAAGGGGGAAAACAGTAAAGTTGTGGGCTGAGCACCAGAAGCATTTGTTAGTAAAAGCAGGCGGGTGAGCACCCAAGCTCCTCCCATCCTAGCTCCTCCCATCCCTGGTCTCCTGGGCCACTGGAGCAACCCTCCTCCCCCTTTACAACCACAGCCCTAGACTGAAGGACAGCCCCTTTTCCTGAGCCCAAAGGGGCCATCTGTTCACCCATCACCAGCCCTCCTGGGGCTACACAATCAGAATAAGCTATAGCTTAAGCAAAGCAAACTCTACTTCAACCATTGAATCCTAGTGCTACTCTTATTAGTCTCAAGAAAAAAATAAAGAATTTGCAGGTCCAGACCAAGTCTTGTGTTTAGGTAAGGCTTGTGATTTGTTGATTTCACCTTCTCCCTTTGAGCTAGAGCGTGTTGTTCACACTACTAACATGAATGCAATTTCTTGCTCATTCTGGAAACATTTTAACTGAGCCCAAACTTTCAGTCTGTATAATTAATATCTGATGGGTGGATAGTGCTTGTTTTTAAAATAATTATTGTTTTTCCTTGTGCCAACAGAAGGAAGGTTCCTTTATACATTTTTAATGTAATTTAGGTAAAAAGAAAGATGTCACTCTTTTGTTTGTTATTTTTATTTTTATTGGCTAGAATAAGAATATATACAGCATACACACAGCTCAAAGAATTGTCTTAAAATAGGAACATTTGTGTAATTTGGTTAACTACTTCCAGAAACAAAATATTATCACTGCTTCCTAAAAAGCTATCAGATTTAGTGCCTGTCACTACCTCTTCATCAAAACTAACCACTATCCACCTGTAATCCCAGGTACTCAAGAGACTGAGAGCTGTGGGATTGAGGTTCAAAGCCAGAGACTCCACCTCCAAAATAACCAGTTTAAAATATATATATATATATATATATATGTGTGTGTGTGTGTATATATATATATATATATATATATATAGTAAAAAAAGCAGGGCTGGAGGTGTGGCTCAAGTGGTAGCCAAGAAAGTATGAGGCCCTGAGTTCATCTCAGTACCAGCAAAAAAAAAAAAAATATATATATATATATATATATATATATAAAATTACTATCCTACTTTCTCAAATCCAATATTAGTCATTCCTACTCTTAATTCCACATATATAGAACCATACTATTTGTTTTGTTGTGTGACAGCATTTGTCAATATTAAATGATTCATTTACAGAGTTATTGCGGTTAAGTTACCCATTCTTGCTTTACCCAACGAAGTTCCAGAGAACAGATGCTTCCTGGGTTTTGTTTTCCTTTGTTGTTATCTAGATTTTTATAAAGATATGAAAAAGCAGCTAGGTGTGTTAGTTCACACCTGTAATCCCAGTTTCTTTAGAGACAGAGATGAGAAGAGTGGAATTCTGAGGCCGAATTAGGCTAAAGTTAGTAAGATTCTCCTAAACCTGGAATAGTGAATGGCTGTGAACCCAACTGCAAGGACAGAATACAGAGAAGGATCCAACTCTGAAACTGGCCCTACGCAAAAAACTTAAAATCCTATCTGGAAAATAACGAAAGCAAAAAGATCTGAAGATTCAACTCAAGTGGTAGAGCACAGGCTCTGACTATCCCTGGGAAAATACACACACACCCACACACACACACACCATACCAGTCAGGTATTAAAACAGTGTACTATATGTCATTAAGCAGCAGGCTTCTGCAGTATCTTTGAATGCTCTACAAGATGTATGTACTGGTGGGTCCCTATGATCCATAAATGGATGAATGGATAAATGTACTATAATTTGTACTCAACCCTAAAGACTAGACATTTGTCATCACCAACTCTTGCCGTGTTAGTTACCAAAAAGGTCGACAATTTTAAGGCATCATCTTAGGAATCAAATTGCTGGGTCAAAGCGTTTCCAAATTTTTCAAGTTTTGAATCGTGGTGGCACAGAAATTCCTCCCAGTGAGCGCTCCTCCAGTAAGGCCCTTGTCCTCACACTGTGTTCTCACTCACCGTAATGACATTTCTAGTAGAGAGGGGTGCTGAGTTCCAGGAATCTTAACTTGTGGTTTCCTGTGTTCAGCTTAGTCCCAATCTAAGATAAGATCTGTGATGCAAAACAGCCTTTGAGTCTGCAGAGGGAGGCAGCCAGCAGGGAAGAAAAGGAAGAAATCAGGGCTGGGAAGGTGGCTCAGTGGTAGAGCGCTTGCTTGCCTTGCATGCCTGAGGCCCTGGGTTTGATTCCTCAGCACCACATAAGCAAAAAGAAAAAAGCCAGAAGTGGCACTGTGGCTCAAGTGGTAGAGCGCTAGCCTTGAGCTGAAGAGCTGAAGGACAGCGCCCAGGCCCAGAGTTCAGGCCCCACAACCAGACCCAAAAAAAAAAAAGAAGAAGAAGAAGAAAAAGAAAAGAAAAGGAAGAAATCCCCTGAAGGATGGAGAAGGAGTGGTTGAAATCCAAGGAAGCCTTTGAGGCCAAGAGAAGCAGCAGTCACTCTATGAGTGCCTAAGGGGGAAGGGAACTAAAAGAAAAGCCAAGCTGACCTTGCCACTGGAGGAGGTAGAAATGCCAAGGCCTCATAAATGTTCAGGGCAGAGCAAAGCAAACAGCAGAGACATCAGGTGAGATGGAAAAAGAGAAAGCTGCCAAGGTCTCAATCACTTTGCCACTGTTTATAATTAATGTCAACAAATCATCAGGAGCACAGTAACTGTGGGGACTAGAGAAGAGTCAGGGGAGGTTCTGCAGGCACACAGACAGCTGGTGACCGGCAGGGGCTGTGGCTAAATTAAGAACTATTCTCCCTGGGGCTGGGAAGGTGGCTCAATGGTAGAGCACTTGCCTTGCATGCATGAGGCCCTGGATTCGACTCCTCAGCACCACATAAGCAAAAAGAAAAAAGCCGGAAGTTCCCAACAGAAACAGAACCCAGGGTCGGGGGTCTAAGGTTCTCCTGGGATGCTGGTTCATCTCCACCTAATCAAGAACCAAGATCCCTGTGCTCCATCTCTTTTTACCCAGACTGTGTCTCGCCTTTCACTCCAAGCCACACTTTCATGAAGTAAGAGATGGATAATTCACCAGGTACTCTGTCTAAACAGATCTCTTGGGCCCTGGACACAGGCAAAGACTTTGGGGCTCCAAGTCCCTTATGTACTCGTTTGTTTGTCTGTTTACTGTGTGTGCGTGTGTGCATACATGTCTTGAACTCAGTGCCTGAGCGCTGTCTCGTAGCTTTTTCCCTCAAGGCTAGTGCTCTACCTTTTGACCCATAGCTCCACTACAGATAAGAGTCTAAGGACTTTTCTGACTCGACTTGGAATCATGGATCCTCAGATCTCAGCCTCCAGAGTAGCTAGGATTACAGGTTTGAGCCACTGATCCCTGGCCCAAGTCTCCTGATGATCCCCTTCCTGTGTCCTTCCAAGGATGGGAAACCTGTCTGCTACTAGCCCTTTGGGTATTTATAACATCATTCCAGTGCCATATCCAATTATCAGTATAAGAAGTCAGCTCTGGGCAGGCAAAAAGCAGCACAGGAGAAACATACATGTCTGTCTAAATATGTGTCTGGCCCAACCAGGGCTCACATTCCCCCACCCACCTTCATCTATGAGGCTTAGATACAACACTATGGGTTTCCTGTCTTAGGCCAAGTGTGTTCTCTTAGGGACTTTTAGCAATTACTAAGTGCCAGGCACTGTAGGTAGTAAATTCTTTATTTATTCCTCACATAATCCTCTAAGACCAGAAGTGTTTTTCTTTTTTATTTTCAGATGAGAAGAGTAGAGTTTTAGCTATTATTCCAAGCACTCAGCTGGAAAACAAGTCAGCCAGAATTCCACGGACAATCCTGCTCCTTAGAGGCCTTTGTTCCCTCCAATGTTCAAATAAAGCTAGGGCAGGATACCTCAGTCAAGAGCTGAAATTGAATTTGGTTTGAGGGATGAATACAAGAATGGTTTCTGACAAAGGGAGCAATGGTATTATGAATTCATTCACAGAATAAATTATTTCACAGAGGCAAGAAAGGAAAGTTCATCTGCCACTGCCTGATAGAAACCAAAGGAGTGTTTAACTGTGGCCAAGGAACTCTCTACAGCAGCCACACAGGTGAGATTGGGCCTGTTTTAGAACAGAAAGGATCCATCACATCCATCCCAGAGGCAGGCAGGCACAGGAGAAAGATTATTACAAGGTTTATTAGAGGAACCATATTTGCCCCGAAGAGAAGGCATGGTGATTTCCACTATCTAGGTAGCAGCAGGTCCTGGGGTTAGGAAGTGAGGTAGGTGGGAGTTCAGGTGGATCTGGGCGGAGAGAGGGAAGGGCGAGCAGTATAGCAGGAACTCCAGGGTAGGGAGAAGCTCAGGTCTGAGTGGAGCTGAGGACCAAAGGTAGGCATAATGCTTACAGAACCAATCTGGGTATCTGAAACTCCTCAGCCACCCTTTCTTTGTGTGTGCATCCATACTGGGGTTTGGACTCAGAGCCTTTCACGTTCTCTTAGCTTTTGGGCTCACAACTGGTTCCCTACCAGTGGAGCCTTGCCTCTACTTCAGATAAGAGTCTCTTGGATTTGTCTGCTCATGCTGGCTTTGAATCTCTGGTTCCTCAGATCTCAGCATCCTGAGTAGCTAAGAATAGAGGCCTAAGCCCCTGATACCTAGACTCAGTCACCTTTTAATCTAATCTTCTTGCCCACAATTGTTCACATCCAGCAAGACTGCCCATCTTTGAAGAAGAAATGATAGGCCCTCTAAGCTATCCATATTGTTCATTTCTGTTGTCCAAATGCAATGACTTTTAACTATCTTATCTACTTCCAGAGTATCTCAGTATCTATAAATGCCATGCTCATATGGCTCTTTTTTCAATGTTAGACAATAGTCTTTTACTAATTTACTACAGAAAGTAAAGATGTAGCCCTCCTTCCCATCCCACATACATCTCTTTCCCACATTCTCCTAATAAATTTATACCAGATTTTATTAAGCCAACAAC